TTGATTTAAGGATGTTTATATTTATTTTATTTTTTTTGCAATGCATGCAACATTTAATTCCATGACATTATGTATTAAGCATATTTAAAACTTTCTGCTCACATTTGAGGCCTTAGTTTGTGGAGGGGGGTAATTAAAGGGGTCATATGATGTTCCTAAAAAGAACATTATTTTGTGTATTTGGTGTAATGAAATGTGTATATGCGGTCTAAGGTTAAAAAAACACATTATTTTCCACATACTGTACATTATTGTTTCTCCTCTATGCCCCGCCTTTCTGAAACGCGTTGATTTTTACAAAGCTCATCGGTCTGAAAAGCGAGGTGTGCTCTGATTGGCCAGCTATCCAGTGTGTTGTGATTGGCCGAATATCTCAAGCGTGTGACAGAAATGTTACGCCCCTTACCATACTGTGATGCAGTGTCCCGGCCGGAGCGAGGAGACAAAAACATTAAAACCCACTATAGACGAGGCATTTGTTGCATCTAGTGGGGACATAATTACGGATTATAATGACTTACACTGTGTTTTTATGTGTTTCATCGTGCCGCGTAAACATAAAACCATGTTTGCATTTGTGATCGGAGAAATGACAAACAACAAGCGCTACTCTACACTGCTCAAAACTTGCGTTTGAATCATCAGTGGCAAATTCTTTAAATATAAAAAACGTACTTACAGTCTGTGAGTCAGTACAGTATTAAAGGTAGTCTACTCTACCAGGATCAGGAAACAGTCCTACATAAAATGTGCTGCACACATCTGAATATTTGGGTTGAACTGTTCTGGAACAGTGTTGGCCGACGGGCTGAGTGAGCGGAGGCCGGTGGGCTTGAGAACGGCGCGGCTGGCGGATTCGACGAAGGAGTGTCCGGCGGGCTTGCGGCAACCACATGTGACGACCCCGGGCTGGACTCCGCTTCGTCCACAGTGAAAGCCGATCCGGCGATGCACAGCGCGAAGTTGGATGTATTTCCTCAGCGACCAGCACGGATCAGCTCTAGGCATGACGAAGCGATATCGTCCTCTTTTGGAAGACCAAACAAAGTAATTTCGCTTTCACAACGAAGCATACAGTGTCTTCACGGCATGGTGGCAGCAACAATACTACAGCCAGAATAAAAGTTACGCCTTCTTTCTTTGCGTGAACATTTGGGCGGCGTTATGCAAATCTTCCCACATCGTGACGTAAACGTGGGGGCGTGTTAGAACGAGCCGTTTTAGGTAGGCGTGGTTGACTTAACTTTTATAAAGAATATCTCTTTGGATTTGAGACTTTAGTCTTTGCAACTTTACAGATCTTCTTTATGCACCAAGAGCTTGTAACACTTCAAAGAGAAAGGAAAAATTGAAATCGCATCATATGACCCCTTTAAAACCTTTTAAGACCGCTAAAACACTGTCAGCTGTACTTATAGCTCAGAATGGCAATGATATTGAACTAAAGCCAAATGTTAGAAATGTTTTGTTAAACAGTCACCTGTCTAATGTTTTCGGCCACCAGACATCCCACCACCATCCTGTCGCTGTTAATGAACAGGTAGGTTTTAGCCGAGCTCGGGCTACTGAGAGTGATCTGCCGAAAGCCCAATTCACTGTCTGCAATCCGCCTCACGTCCTCTGCCTGAAACAAAGCAGCATAGGTTAGGAAACACTGGAGATTTAGCTGGACAGAGCAAGTATTTAAACTTTAATCAATCACTGCCAGCATACCTTTTTTGTGGCATACTTAGGATCATCAGGAAGAACGAGAATAATCTTTCCATCCCAGAACTCAGCCACAACCCTTTCTTTTTTCCAGCCCTAAAAACAAACAAAATGATGTGAAATTCCAGCAGAAATGCTCTCAGCTGCATTGATGACAACTTCATGACAGCTCACCACAAATTTAATGGTGTCCAAGAAGCGCTGATGGAACTGTGTGTGCTGGAAGTTGTCCTCAGGACTATCTGTACTGTACAGCATCCCACAGGACCCGCATGTGGTGGCACCAAACTGCTTCTGACCAGCATCCTAAACACCAGACACATTAACCATCAAGAAGAGGTGGAAAAGCACCAGCCATTTATTTCTGTCCAACAATTTGACTTGCTACTCACAATGATAAGCTGATTATCTGTCTGCTTCTTCATCTCTCTTCTCAAGGCAGTCCTCTCTTTGGCCTTAAGAGCAGGAGTACCAGTCAGTGCGGAAGGAGTGCTGGTGTTCAGTGGTGGTGACAAAATCCCTTTTTTCTGAGATCTAAAACAAAAGATGAGAACAACTGATTAACCAGCTTTACATGGGTCGTGAGTTGTGACATTAAAGTTAAAAGACTGAATATAACCTTGCTGGCACACACAGGGTCATTAATTCATTCTAGCCTTATGCAGCTGTCCTTTTCAAACTGTATTACTTTTTTCACTGTAATCATGTCTTCGCTTTTTTTTTCAGTATTTTTCCACAGTTGCGTTAGTAAAAAAAAAAGTATGATTGTCTTACCTCTTACTGCCAAAGATGGGATAGACAGATGACTCTTCTGAAAAGATAGCAATAAAAAAGTTAAAAAAAATAATAATTATACATGTTCCATGAAGATATTTTGTAAATTTCCTACCGTAAATATGTCCAAACTTAATTTTTGATTAGTAATATAAATTGCTAAGGACTTCATTTGGACAACTTTAACGGCGATTTTCTCAATATTTAGATTTTTTTGCACCCTCAGATTCCAGATTTTCAAAACAGAATTTATATAATCACATTAAACAACCTATTTAATAACTGGTCAAATTAGAAAGTAATTTTGATTCATAAAATATATCTTACATATAAGATAATAATATATAATAAACACTATTTCATATCTATAAAATAAAAAATATATTTTAACTTTTTAAATAAAGGATTTATAGAAAATTATGTTTATTTACCTTCGTCAAGAGAGCTGTCCTGTGGTGGTATGTCACTCACATCAAACACTGAATCCGTTTTTGCGGGCGAGTCCTGGAAAACATTTTCATTTTGAGAAAAAGATTATGAGAACTGTACATTTAAAGTTATTAGCAGATGATCCAAGAGTTCAATCTTACCTGGCTACCAGCTTCACTGGATCCATTGGGACTAACGGATCTCCTCAAAACCACCTTTAACTCTTTGGTAATACCATGCAGATCTGCCAGGATGTGAGGGGACATCTGTTTAGGGCTCAACATCACTTGCGTTGATTCACTGCCCTCACCATCTTCATCAGTGGTACCTGTAGCTGTGCTTTCTGCTTTTGGGTGTTTTTTTAAGAAGACGGCACGGCGGACTGGGGAACGTTCTCCTGGTGCTGTCAGCGCTTCCTTCTCCTTCACGGGTTTCTGAGAGTTGGGTTTCTCACAGGTTGAGGGTTGTTTAGGCTTTGCGTTCTGTGCAGACCTTTTGAACATTGAAGTGGGCTTTTTTCCAGTGCCGAAGAAAGCTGCTCCCACAAGCAGCTTGGGTTTACTCTTGGATTTCATACTGCTAAATGAAATCGGGGCCACTGTGGCCTTCAACAACTGATCTGTTTGCGTGTCTGAGGGATTTTTCCCTTTGGGTTTAGCAGTAAAGTAGCCTTTTAGATTAGACTGTGGACCTGCGGCAGTGCCTTTCTTTTGAACCTTCTTCACTGTTTTTTTAACAGGATTCCCAGCATTCAAAGGGAGGTGTGATGGTTCTTTGATAGGGACTGATGGTGGTGACTTGGTTTCCTTTAACAGCTTCCTTTCCAGAGGTGTGAGATAAAGAGGTTTCTGCTTGCTGTAGAAGGATCCCGCTCCCAATACTGTTTTGCGTGGAGAGATCCGCTTTGGAGGAGATTCTAGTGAAGAGGTCCTCTGCATCTTCTTAGGTGTACTGAGAATCTTTTGGGGTGATGCCAGTGAGATGGGAATGTTCTCTTTTTGACCAGTGGTCCTTCTTGGAGACTTTCTCTGGCTTGTAATTTGTTTTTTGGATGGTTTACTGTGGTGGGTTTAAACGAAACGGAAGGAAATGGCTCACAATCTGTGTCATAAGAGCAAAGTACATTTCCAGATCTAGTAACGTTATCTAACAAAATTACATCACATACCTCTGGGCATCAGGAGAGCCATGTTTTCTTTTTCGGGATAACATCTTCAAATTAGTTACCTGAAATGAGTAGACAGGGAATAAGATCATGATGTGAACTATAAGGCTTTTATAGGACGCCACAGATTGCATTTCTGGAACATTCTGATATTTCTGCAATATTATTTTGCTTCTACTTTATCATATGAGAAATGTGGAGAAAAAGCAGTAACACGATCAAATTTAGTAAACAATATTCGACAAAAACAGTGACAATAGTGTGACTTTAAGCCGAGATTCAAAAGAATCAAACTGTATGGGTTCTTGTGGCAAGCTTATTGCTACGATAACGGTATATACCTTGGCCCATAGTATAAAGAATACATTATTTGATACCAACCAGCAAACCAACATGTCGTTAAAAATACTTGCAGGATCCCGCAGTCATCACAAGCCTCGTTCAGAGACTGACAATGTAACAATATATGTAGTAGTTAACTTACCAAGTCAAATAAATCCGATTCTGTTTTTGATTTTGTATGAAAAAGTGCAGGTGAGCAAAATAATCGCGGCAAAACTCTCCCTTCACCCGCGGTCTGTTTTGAACAACGCGCCAAAGTCAATTGTGGCGCACACGGAAACGGAAACAACGACAGTGTGTGACAAGTTCCGGTTAGGGATGGTAAGTGCGATTCATCTCTACGAATCGGTTCTTTCGAACAGTTAGTTTCAAAGAACCCTGACCGCTCCAGTTCAGATTGATGCAGCTATTTAGTTCCTCCAAAAAAGTAATTTAGAATATAAATAATTAATAATTTGCATATACGTTAAAAAGTGTATTTATTTATTGAAATCCACCGATGTAATTGCTGACGTGAGCAGAGTTCGGAACTCAACCGAGATTTGATTCAAATGAATGATTCATTCACCGTGAATCACTTCATTGCAGCGCTGCTTGTTCCTGTTGTGGTCGGAATGGGTGGTGCACATGACATGTGCCTCTGATAGAAGATTATTTACCTCTGATGTGCTCAGTGTTTTGTTGAATACATATTCATTGAATACAAAGACCTTTCAAAGGTTGCGTCTTTGCGTAAAAAGATGGTGTTTTACTTTAAAAGCGCAGGTGAGTAGTGTGTTCACTGCCCAGCCAAAACAGTGTGTTTGTTGTCAACAAAAACAGTTTAAATACGAAACTATTATAAGAACGTTACTTATAAATATACAACATAGAACAAAAATAAAGATTATCAAAACTGCAATATACTGTAATTTGACATTGTGTGTTGGAGGTTTGGTGTGTCTTTAGATATGTAGCAAGAATAATAAGAGTAAACAGTGCTTTTTTAAAAGTTGCAATACATGCTTCTCTTTTACAGTCGTCTCACCGCCCTATACCATCTATATGGGCAAAGATAAATATGAAAGTAAGTACTGAATTCCTTAGAAATATTATTTTAAACACCCTCATCCTGTACTTGTCAGACCGTTAATAACTGTTTTTGTTTTTCCACAGATGAAGATCTTATAAAGTATGGATGGCCTGAAGATATTTGGTGAGAACAAATATCTATTTAACGTTTGCCACCACAAATGAATTATTACTTTCTAGATTTGTTCTGATGTAAAATATTAGTTCAAGTACAAGAAATATTAGTATCTTGTGTTGCAGGTTCCATGTGGACAAGCTCTCATCTGCCCATGTATATCTAAGAATGCCCAAGGTATTTTGAGAGGTTATTCATATTTTAACCTACAGTTTTATTTATAATATTTCTATGCTGACATTTATGTTCACTAATTAAAGGGTACAACGATAGAAGACATGCCAAAAGACGTCCTGATTGACTGTGCCCAGCTGGTCAAAAACAACAGCATTCAAGGTACTGCTTCATCAAAACGAGAAACATCAAAAATTGTTTGTTAATTTTATTTAAAGGATTTTTTTTATTTTTTATTTTTTATTTACAGGTTGCAAAATTAACAATATTAATGTTGTCTACACACCATGGGGCAATCTGAAAAAAACAGCGGACATGGATGTCGGGCAGATAGGCTTCCATCGGCAGAAGGAGGTATGAGGAGAGATAAACTCTATGATTTCGTTCACACTGCAGCCAATTCTGGTCCAGATCTTTTATTTGGATAGATGAGCTTGTTTTTATGCAATTGAAACTACAGAAAGCAAACTAATCTGAGTCAGTTATGCCAAAAAATACCATCCACTTTCTGTCTGAACAAAGTCTTCTAAATTTTCTAAATAGCTTCTGTATAAATATCCAATTACTATACAATGTCAACAGGTGAAAATTGTGGCAGTAGAAAAGAAAATCAACGAAATCATCAACAGACTAGAGAAAACAAAAGAGGAGCTGTATCCTGATCTTGCTGCGGAGAAGGAGTCCCGGGACAGAGAGGAAAGAAACGAGAAGAAGGCTGAATTACAAGAGCAGAAGAAAAAGGAGAAGGAGGAAACGAAGAAGAAAAAAGAGACGGAAGAATTAAGGTGCTGCATATTGTTGAAATGTTGCGATGCATATTATAAACCTCAACACAAACAATATATATATATATTAGTTTATCATTTTTGAAAGAAATACACTGGCATCCAAATGTTTGAGACCATTAGTGAAACGTGTTTATTTTTTCCATTTTATAACTTGATTAAAAAATGTCATTAGAAGTTATGTTATTGGCATAACAGTTTGAGTGAATGTCTGTTGTGTTTCATAATTCCTATTTGTTTAATAACTCTTTTCGCTCCACATGTTTATGCAATATTTTCAGTGTGGTCTCAGACTTTTGGACTCCACTGTAGATACATAAATGATAAATACAATAAAAACAACCTTTGTACATCAGAATTAGTCCTTGAGACGTATTATTTACAGGTACAGGCATCAATTTCGTCTGCTTACTTGTAACATCTACTTTCCTGTAGGAATTATTCATCACTCATGAAGAGTGACAACATGACCACAAATGAGGTAATACATCCTTAAAGCTTAATGTTCTGCTGATCATCGACACAAATTCTTTTATGACTTGATGTGATTTTTTTTTTCTGCAGGGTGGCTATGATTCAGATGAATTCATGTAAAGAAAAGGAATGAATCGGCGATTAAGAAGAGCCAACATCTTCCCCCACAATATCTTGTTTGTGAAAGGAAAGGACTTGAGACATCAGATATGAGCCATCAATAAGAAACAGCAAAATGCCAGGACCGTTCTAGAGCAGTTAGCTTTGTCATTTCTTTGAAAATACAAATGCAATATGTAAAATATGTCAAAAAAATAAAATCGATTAGATTGCTCACATAAACCAGAAGAATTTGAAGATCTCTGCTGATTCTATGTATTAACCAGTTTTGTTGTTGATGTTTTTGGATGAAATAAAGATACTCAGAGTGGAGATATATTAATGGATGTGTACGCTAAGACCTTTATGGTATTTTTGCTTGTAATTTATATACCTTTTTGGAGTGATACAATTGAATGACAAATGCCTAAACTTTTTTGGTAACACTTTACTTGAAGGGGTGTGCATAAGACTGACATGACACCTTCATAATCATGACATGACACATGTCATGAATATGAAGGAGGTGTTATACATGTTTGTGACAACTGTCATTAAGTGTCATTCGCTCAGTTATGTCATTTTTAATGCAAATATGACATTATTTGACCTAACCATAGCCCATAACAAAGACATCTCAAACAATGTCATCTTTGCATTAAAAATTACATAACTGAGCGAAAGACACTTAATGACAGTTGTCATAAACATGCATAAAAAACCTTCATATTCATGAACGGGATTTCCGTTTTATATGAGAACAATCGTGGCATCTGGATGGAGCTAGCATTATATTACTATGTAGTAAATGATTTAAAATATATAAAAACGCTGTTGACTGGACTGAACTACATAATATTGTGACTATTGCTTTTTTTAAGCTTTCAGTAGTAAAATGTTACTGACAAGTCAAATCGGCGATCTTTTCCATTCAATCCGATGATAAATACGCTGCCTTAGTTGACGTTATAATGTCACTGGGTAAAGGAAATTACATCCACTAGATGGCAGCATTTTATCGAACAAATATAATTTAACTTGAGACGAGATTCATTTCTTCATATCAGATCTGTGATTTAAGACATTTTCCTCAATAGGATACAAAACAGGCTCTGAAACTCTAAAAAAGAAAACTGATAATGAAACTCAAACTGAAGATTACACGAGCTGTTTCGTTACATTTAGGCTATATTTGCAATTTGTCAACACTTACTACAATTGCTAATCTATAGGTCTAAATACAGCTGGAAACCCTGATTTGTCCGATTTTGCCACGTTCTACCAAAAAAGTAAATTATTACTTTTATTTTTTTAAATTAAAACAGATAAAATTTAAATTACTACCAGAATTATTTTTATTTTATTATTAATTAATTTTTTACCAATCAAATAAGACCCATCCAAATCAATTTAGTGGTACAACAATAACATTGACAATGGTATGTTGTGGCTGAACGATCAGAAATCGAGTATTTTAAGAGTCTGAAAGCTGCTGACAGACCACATCCTCCTAAAGAGCTAACACACTTGTTGCGGTACAGACAGACACAAAAGAAAGAAGTTATTGTGCAAAGTGGCGTCTCCTGTCCAAGGCTAGACTGGGAAATATGACCTTGGACTGCCACCTCAGATGTCCTTCACTGGCGGGATGTTTCTGGTTTGTTTATAGGAAAGATTCAGTCACATTCTTTTCAAGCCAGTGGCATTGCACTACTATAATATGGGCCTTTCCAGGGACTCATTTACAAAAAGTGAGTATAAAAGCAAATTGGATTTAAACTTGGAGTTACATTGTCTGAAAGATCATACTGTCACGACAGAGGCACATACACTTTTGGTCTAATTTTGTGTGGAGACAAGTACATAAACTGCAAGTTAATCAAAATAACAGATTAATCCAATAATGGCATGCAATTCAAAGTTGTTTGTCAGAGCTGTTTGAGTCTGGCTTGCATATGTCCTGCAAATTGCATATTCATTTCCCTTATGCCAGTGATTTAATAATAATAATAATAAAAAAATTAGGATAATTTTTCAGGAAACATTTTCAGAAGCAAGGATCCATGTCTCTACACCTTTAAAAATAAAGGTTCTTTATTGGCATCAATTTGCAATTTTACCAATGCTTACTATAAGTAGATCATCTAAAGGTCTAAGTACAACTTAAATCCCTTAAATTGTGATTTTGCCACATTCTACCAAGAAACATTAAATTCTAATTTTTAAAATGAAAGTTTATACATTTTAAATCTATGCCAGATTTTGTATTTTATTTTATTTTATTTTATTTTATTTTATTTTAGGTCTATCAAATAAGACCCATCCAAATCAATTTAGCGGTACAATAATAACATTGATAATGGTATCCGTGTCTCTACACCCTTTAAAATAAAGGTTCTTTACTGGCATCTTTGGTTGCATGAAGAATTTTAAACATCCATGGAATATTCCTATTGTAGAAATGGTTCTTTATAGTGGATAATGGTTTTACACTAAGAACAAAATGTCTCTTTTAAGAATTGTTCACTAAAATTGTTCTTTGAACCAGTCAGAAATGGTTCTTCTTAGGCACTGACACGAAAACCCTCTTTTGGAGACATACACATTCCTTGGCTGAAGTTAGCATCAACAAAGTAGAGAAAACTTCCTGAAACCTTAACAAACACTCATATGGTCCAATCGTCTGCCGTCACAGTTAGCTTAGACCTCCACTGGGTGGCTAGGGCCCTGCCACACATAGCCTGTCTTCTCCATTAACCTCATGTTTAGAACAAAAAGTCTCTCTAGATGTGGCTGTGGGGCACAAACCAGACCCTGTCAGCTATACTTCACATCTTCACTGGTCATTAGCACGCACTGCGGCCAAAACTGTTGGCAGGGACCACACATAAAGAGACAGGAAAGCAGTGAGAAGTGTGGACCGCCGCACAAAATGAAAAGGGATGTGCCTCTGTGGTCCTCCGAACCGGCCGGGCCAGCTGGAGCCTTCAACAAAAGCAAACAAGGTCATAAAGTGGGTGCAGAGAAGAACAGGCCTGGAGACGAGCCACTGCGATGTGAGGAAATGTGGAGGACACATGGGGCTGATTGAACAGTTCCCGCACAGTCGGGGAATGAGAAGACCTCAAACAATGAGATAAAGTGCTGCTTTCTGAACCACTGGGAAAAATAACACAAAAGGTCAAAGGGTCATGATTATGAAGCGTTAACTTCATTTGTAAAGAAAGTGGAGACACTGTTTCAGTAAGTTCGGGCCTTCTCATCATTGTATTGTATATGCATTCCCACTTTCTTTCAAAAGTGACAGTAAATACTTTTACACTTACAAAAAAACTTTTGTAAATAAATGCTATTCTTTTGAACTTCCCATTCATCAATGAATTATGAGAAAAAGTTTCACAGTTTTCACAAATCAGCATATTAGAATGATTTCTGAAAGACCATGTGACACTGAAGACTGGAGTAATGATGCTGGAAAATTTCAGGATTGTTATCACAGAAATAAATTACATTTTAAGATATCATCAAATAGAAAACAGTTATTTAAAATTGTAATAATATTTGTTTTTTGAACACTGAAAATGTGTCAAATTTACTCCTGAAGCCATATTGAAATTGCAATATCTCTGGACCTGAACCATATAGTGCCTTAAATATGAAGATGACTAAAGGAAAGTTTGTTAAGACCCAAAATGTAAAAGGGCATTAATACTTCTTGAATTACAGGCATGCAAACTTTTGAATAGTCACCACTGGCATATACTGCAACAAATATATCCAACTTTCTTCAAAAAAAAATATTGACCAAATCAAAAATTTGAGCCGGGGAAGTTTCTGAAATTTGGTTGATTTGACACGAAATGACCCATAATACAAAACACATTCAAAAACAAAATAATTGTCCACCTTCTGTTATCTTTATACTGATCTAATAATATTTTCTTTGCTCTTTCCCTAAATCTAACTCTCTTTATTATGACATCATTTAGCTATTATGAATTCTACAGGGGAAACGTTAAATATGCATTCTACAGTTCAACAAAAACAAATCTGAGATTACTTTGTGAACAAGCCACATTTGTAATCCATAAATGCATTAACTGTTTTAGCTCTTGTTAATAGGAGTATCTTTGCATAAAACCTACAATCATTTCAAACCACATAAGCGACGATAATTACAGAAATTATTAACTTTATCTTTCAAGTAGATGAGATGCCCTCATTCATGGGTTAGAAGTAGAACCCAATGGAGAGCATCTCTCTAGCTTCATTCTTCATAACACATGATCACTCCCCATGGGTACAGTTAGAGGCTTATTTAGTGCTTGACTTATTGGCAGCATACTTCTTGCTGTGACCTACTGATCTGCTCAACCCATCCAGCTGACAACACAAATTCCTCTGGCACACATACAAAGCTTACACCAGCAGCAAGGTTTCCAGTCAAAACCTTATCTCACCTTTTATTTTGAAAACTGCTAGAAAATCCAGCTAAAATCAGATTAAGGTGGAAGTTGTTTTTCAAAACTTGGTACCTGCTTTCTTATTAGCTGGTGGTCCAAATGTTGTTTACCAGCTGGTAGAGAAGGAAGTTGTGAGAAGGACGTCAAAGGAATTTTGATCTCAGTGGCAGCTGCTCGTCTGGCATGTGAACACAACCTGCTTGCTGTCATCATGTTTTGGAGATGTGACTGATTCAACTAAAGTCACCAATGATTCAGGGTATGGCTGGTTAGCATGGTTAGTTAGCCCCTGTTGGTAGATGTTGTAACTACAGAATCAGATTGCAAAAAGCATATTTCGCCATTGACAGCCATTCGATTGTATAACAATAAATTACAAATATTTCCCTATATTAATGAAATAATTTTGATGTATATTGTTTGTAAAAATGTTAATTGCATCAGAATATCAACCAGCTACACTAGCTTGGACCAGCAGTGTTATTTTAGTATTATTTCTTGTATTTATGAATTGCTTGAATTTAAATAAATTTTTATATCTTTAGTTTTCATTTTAGTTTGACTAATTTTGTCACGTGCTTCTGTCACTTTTATATTTCTGTTTAGATTTAATTTATTTTATTTCAGTTATAGTTTTAGCAATTCAACCTAAACTTATTTATTTCAATTAGTTGCCAAGAAAACATTTCTAGTTTTCATTGCAATTCAAATTTTTTTTTTAAAGTTGTTTAGGTTTTTCAAATTTTAGTTTACCATAACTGCTTGTCAGTACATTCAGAAATACAAATTATCCATATTTCAAAGACAATAGAAATAATTATGAAATTAAATACGAAGATGTATTAAAGTTGGTCATTCTCAAGTTTAATGTATAAGTAAACTATAATACATTTTAATTTAATTACAAGTAATATGCACTTACATTTCTGAAAACATTAGATTTAGCGCACACTTTTTTTCATTTCAATT